AAAATAAGTAATCAGCAGCATTAAAAGACACCCCACAGAGTGGGAGAAAAATCTTCACAATCTGTACATCTGACAGAGGACTAATATCCAAAATCTACAGGGAACACAAATCAGCAAGAAGAAAAACAAACAGTCCCATCAAAAAGTGGGCTAAGGACATGAATAGATAATTCTCGAAAGAAAATATACAAATGGCTAAACAGCACATGGAAAAATGATCAACATCACTAATTATCAAAGAAATGCAAATCAAAACCACAATGCGATACCACCTCACTCCTGCAACAATGGCCCTAATAAAAAAATTAAAAAATAATAGATGTTGGCATGGATGTGGCAAAAAGGGAACACTATTATATTGTTGGTGGGAATGTAAACTAGTACAACCACTATGGAAAACATTGTGGGGATTCCTTAACTAAAAGTAGATCTACTGTTTGATCTGGCAAACTCATTACTAGGTATCTACCCAGAGGAAAAGAAGTCATTATACGAATAAGATACTTGCACAAACATATTTATAGCGGCACAATTCACAATTGCAAAAATATGGAACCAAATGCCCATTAATCAATGAATGGATAAAGAAAATGTGGTGTATATGTATAACATGGAATACTACTCAGCCAAAAAAGGAACAAAATAAAGGCATTTGCAGTAATCTGGATGGAACTGGAGACTGTTATTCTAAGTGAAGTAACTCAGGAATGGAAAACCAGACATATGTTCTCACTCATATGTGGGAGCTAAGCTATGAGGATGTAAAGGCGTAAGAATGATACATTGGAGTTTGGGAACTTGGGGGAAAGAGTGGCGGGTGGTGAGAGATAAAAGACTATACACTGGGTACTGTGTACACTCCTTGGGTGATGGGTCGACCGAAATCTCTAAAGGACTTACTCAGGTAACCAAACACCACCTGTTCCCTAAAAACCTATTGAATTAAAAAAAAAATGGGCCAAAGGCCTTAACAGACACTTCCTCAAAGAAGATATTCAGGGCCGGGCGCGGGGGCTCACGCCTGTAATCCCAGCACTTTGGGAGGCTGAGGCGGGTGGATCACGAGGTCGAGATATTGAGACCATCCTGATCAACATGGTGAAACCCCGTCTCTACTAAAGATACAAAAAATTAGCTGGGCATGGTGGCGCGTGCCTGTAATCCCAGCTACTCGGGAGGCTGAGGCAGGAGAATTGCCTGAACCCAGGAGGCGGAGGTTGCAGTGAGCCGAGATCGCGCCATTGCACTCCAGCCTGGGTAACGAGAGCGAAACTCCGTCTCAAAAAAAAAAAGAAGATATTCAGATGGCAAATAAGCATATGAGAAGATGTTCCACATCATATGATCATCAGGGAAATGCAAATTAAAATAACAATGAGACAGCACTAGACACAGTAGAATGACCAAAATCCAAAATACTGACAAAACTAAGTTCTGACAAGGATATGGAACAACAGAAACTCTCATTCATTGCTGATGGGAATACAAAATATAGCCACTTTGGAAGACAGTTTGGCAGTTTCTTACAATACTAAACATTCTCTTGCTATCTGACCAACAATTAATTGCCAAAACTTGAGAGCAACCAAGATTTCCAGCAAATGGATAAACTCTGGTACATCTGAGCAATGAAATATTCAACATTAAAAAGAAATGAGCTATCAAGCCGTAAAAAGACAAAGAGGAACTTAAAATGTATGTTACTAAGTGAAAGAAGTCTATCTGGAAAGGCTATTTACTATATGATTACAACTACATAACATTTTGGAAAATATAAAATGATGGAGACATTGAAAAGATCAATTGTTTCCAGGGGTTAATGGAAAGGGAGGGATGAAAGAGAGGGATAAGGAGAACACAGAGGATTTCTGGGGCAGTGAAACTACTCTGTTTGATACTAAAAGGATGAATCCATGTCATTCAATCTGTCTAAATCCACAGAATGTGCACCACCAAGAATGCACCCTAATTTAAATGATGGACTTTGGGTTATTATGATGTGTCAATGTAGGTTCATCAATTATAACAACTGTACCCCTGTGGTGGAGAATGTTGATAATAGAGAGGTTATGTATGTGTGATGTACGTGGGGAGGGGTATGTGGGAAATCTGTACCTTTCTTTCAATTTTACTGTGAACCTAAAACTGCAGTTAAAAAACATTTTTTTTTTGAAAAAAAGACTTCAAATGTTACTGTTATTCAAATTTTACATTAATCAAATAGACTTTTAGACTACTTTAGCAGAAGGAATCTATCTCTCTTCCCAAAAGTGTTCTTAATCTCCTAACCGGACTACAAAATGTAGAAAACATCTAAGCCAGATCCTTACTGTTTCCCGTGTATTAATTTCACCTGCTCAACTTGACTGTGAACATCTAGAGGGTTTTCTGGATTCTGGAAAGCACAGGACAAACCTGAGCAACCAGCACAATGAACAACACTGATCTCCACACAGTAGTGTTAGACATAATAAGGATAAAAGCAACCAAAGCATTGACAAGATAAGCAACAGCTACAGTTTAAGGCAATGAATTAAAAAATATATACCACAATTTTCACAGTGATTTCTTACTTTGATATTCTTTTTGGGTGAAATAAAGAAAAACATATAAATCTTTTAATGAAATGTATGCTAAATTAACAAAAATCTCAATGAAAAAGAAGTCAGTATAAGAGGTAGCCTTCACATGGAATTTGTAAGCCCAAAATAGGCTTTATTTTTAAACATCTTAAACTTCTTAGAGGGAAGATAATATTTAGTCTTAATGTATCTAAATTCTAAACACAATGCCCCTAAAACAGTAAGTTACCTCTACTATCACAGAAAGAAGGGACTATATATTTTGAGGGAAGAGGTTTCTTTAATGAAGAAATTATGACAGAGGGGCAAGAACCTGGGTAATGGCCAGGAAGAATGGCAAGCCTCATGAGATAGTACCTTCTGACTCATGACGTGGACATGGGCCCTGTGACTATCTGAGGAAAAAAGACCCCAAAATGGACATGAGACAGTCTTTAGAACCAGGGTGTTTCTCTTTTAAAAGTAAATTTATCTAGTTACTTTCTTTCTATGTTTCTACCTTTATTAAACACTTATATCCTTTCCTTCCCCCTCCCCTTCCTTTTCCCTTCCCTTTCCTTTCCCCTTTCTTTCTCCTTTACCTTTTCCTTTCCTTTCTTTTTTCCTTTTACCTTCCCTTTTTCCTTTTCCCTCTTCTTTCCTAAGATAGGGTCTCACTCTGTTGCCCTACTGTAGTACAGTGGTGCAATCATAGCTCACTACAACTATGATTGAGTGGGGAGCCCAACTCCTGGGCTCAAGTAATCCTCCCACCTCAGCCTCTTGAGTAGCTGGAACTACAGGCACATGCCACCATGCTCTGCTAATGTTTAAAATTTTTGTGGAGACAGGGTCTCCCTATGTTATCCAGGCTGGTCTTGAACTCTTGGTCTCTAGTGATCCTCCCACCTCAGCCTCCCAAAGCACAGGATTACAGGCATGAGCCACAATGCCCAGCCAATGCTTATATATTCTTATGAAAACATTAGGGAGGTAGAATTATATATCTCAGACTTTTTACTTTTTATACAATTTAAGAAAATGGTAGGCCAGGTAGCATGGCTCATGCCTGCAATCCCGGCACTCTAGGAGCCTGAGGTGGACAGACTGCTTGAGCTCAGGAGTTCAAGACTAGCCTGGACAACATGGAGAAACCTTGTCTCTACTATAAATACAAAATTAGCCAGGTGTGGTGGTGTGCATATATAGTCCCAGCTATTCGAGAGGCTGAGGTGGGAGGATCACCTGGGCCTGGGGTGTGGAGACTGCAGTGAGCTATGATCATGCCGCTGCACTCCCACTCCAGCTGAGGTGACAGAGCAAGACTCTGTCTAAAAAAAAAAAAAAAAGAAAGAAAGAAAGAAAGAAAAGGTAATTATTGTCCTGAGATATCAAAAGATACATCACCAGGCAGTTGATAGAGCTAAGGACAAAATAAAAATACCAGAAGGCAAAGCATCCTTTGAACACGCTCTAACATCTCATCTCCTTTCAAATAGCAATCGTATGATAATGCTCCCATAACTACAACTACAATGTGCTAGGCACAGGTCTAAGTACTTCACGTGTAATAACTTACAACTCTTCTATGAAGTAGGTACTATTATTTCCTCCATTTTACGGATAAGAAAACTGAGCAAAGTGATTGATACATCAATTTAAATAATTATTAAACTATCAAAAAGGCATTTATTTGATCATACATTGTAGAGTCTAATGAAGATAAGAAACTTGAATTAGGTTTCTATTGTAACATAGCCTAGGTTCCTTCATGGGCAGAGAAGTGGCTATGGTATAGTGCCCCATTTTATATTAATACAAATGCTGTAACCGAATAGATTATATGGTTATCTGCATTGATGAAAATGTCTGAAACAATCTTGTCAATCATTCAATAATGAAGTTATTGTAGGTATACAGATATGACTAAAATCATATTGATAATACTTAACTGTCATGCAGTCTGACTGTTGGTATGCTATCTATGGGACAAGCCAAAAGGTAATCACATATGTTCATGGTAAAAAAAAAAAGGTTTTGGTAGACTAGTGAACTTTGTATTTTAACTGAGAATACTGTTAGTCAACACGTCATCCATTTTTTTTTGTACAGAAACATAATTCTAACTTGATAACCTAACATTATAAAACCAAAGTCACAAAATTCCAAAGTAAGGCACACCATTTAATTACGATTTCTGAAAGGTATTCCCAGCTTGCACAAAGCTTAAATTTAAAGAGGAAAAAGCTAATTTCTATTTATAAAGAATAATTTCTCTTTCTGGGTTTATTGCACTGGACCTCCTACTTTGTCAACCAATTGCCTCTTTAATTTTTAACCATAATTCCCAAATAACAAAGACTCTAAGAAAAAAAGAGAATATAAAAGATTATAATAAGGCACCTGGTTCTGGTTCTTCTTTATAATACCTAAGATTACCTTGATTTCCAGTGGAAGTGTGAGCCACCGGACTCCAGGGAGGTTATCTAAAAGTACTGCACTGGAAGCATCATACTGCTGAGCACTGGGACTGGTACCGGAATGCAGTTTCGCAGGCTGAAGTGCTCTTTGAAAGAACAAGTTAAAAAAATGATCCAAACGAGGAACATTCTCAACCTGGCAAAAGGCACTGGAGACATAAGAGCTGTAAGTTAGAATGACATATGGAAATGGAGGTCATTTTTTGTGTGCTCCTAAGGGGACCAGATCTTTCCTGACTATATAGGCTATCTTCCTCACTCCTCTCCTCACTTAATAGAATCACTGCTAGAATGTTACTGATGGAGTGTGTAAAGAAATTCACCCTGTCCATATTTTTTACCCTAAAACCTACTCTCAAATGTACTGAGTAAATGTTCTATGGAAGAACCACAGGACTAATACAAGCGACACATCTACAACAGTAAGGGCTGAAGTGCCCTTTTTGTAAAAAATGTAGGTTATTTTTACCTCTGACTATCTCTCAACCATTTATAATTCCCAATATCTTTCAGGCAATGTGGAATGATAAAGAGATTTTGAACTTTGTAATAGAACAGATCTGGCTTATCACAGCTCTTTCTAGGTAGCTATCCTAGGCAAATGACCTAACCTCTCTCTAACTTTGGTTTCCAACTCTGTGAAACTAGGGTTAATACAATCTAACTCACAAGGAGAATGTCTAGAACATAATAAGCATAAGTTCTTATTATGCTTATTATTTACTGGTACACAAATAATAAGTAAGTACGTAATAAGCATAAGTTATTTTCTTCCGTCTTGGTATAACATTGAAGAACTCAAAAAACAAAATGAGAGAGAAAAAAAGAAATGCTTGCTTTTAGCCATATAAAAGTAACACAGCATTCACTGCGACCATTGATTGGAACAGCCCACTGAATGACAAAATAGCAGGTACATATGCTATTAGCATATCAAAATAATATTTGCTGATTCATCCAACAAATATTTGAGTGACTGCCACAGTCCAGGCACTATTTGCATTGCTGAGGTATAGCAGTAAAACTATTAAGACAAAAGACAATGAGCTCCTCTGGAGCTTATGTTCCAATGGAGAAAGACAACAATTGAACAAACAGTAAAAAACATGGATTCATATAAAGGACTATGCAGAAAATAGTACAATGTGAATGGGTGGTATGACAGGTTGGCTATTTTAGATTGAATGGTTGGAGAAGAATCTCTGAGAAAGGGCGTTTAAGCTGATATTCCAATGTCAGGAAATCTGGCAAGAAGAAAATGTAAAAAAGGCCTGGGGTGGGGAAAAGCTTTGTCAGGGTGTTTGCAATACAGTCTCTAGGGGCATGTGTGGTTTGAAATCTGAGGTCAGAAGGGTAGGTAGGAGCCAGATAATAATATAGAAAGATCACTCTAACTGCTATATGAAAATGAGTTCAAGTGGCAAGAATGATGGGAAGCAGACAAGTTAAGAGGCTACTGTAGTGTGTGAGAGATGGCGTAGCTGGACAGGGGAATAGTAAAGATAAAGACAAACAGGCGGATTAGAGGTTTTGAAGACAGACTGATCAGGACTTGATGAATTCACTGGGAATGGTGAAGGAAATTTTATAGCTTTAATTTGGTCACAACATTACACTGTTAGTATATAGTCAGTTTTCTGTGACTCATAGAGAACTAACCAGCTCACAACTTTAAAAAAATAATTAAGTTTCTATATTTTTTGGTCTTTTTGTAATTTTTCACAATGGGCCCTTAATATCTTTCATAGTCAGAAAAAAAAGTTGGTATAAAAATTATCACAAAATGTCTATTAATAACATCCTGGATTCACTCTGCTTCTTGGTTTTAAGAACTCAGTGGAGCTTCACATTTATTATTGTAGTTTGCTCTTTAAATCTTCACTTGAACAAGTAGAAAAGAGTTAAATTTGCTGCCATCAAAAAGATACTTCCACAATCAATGGAAGATAAATTTCAAGATGAAAGAGAAATTAAGTCCCTCTGTCCCCAGTCTACTCTAATGGAATTTGTAGAACAACGCCAATGGACTGTTTTCATGTATAAAACTCATTGCAAAAATTTAATCTTTGATAATCTCTGATTTTATGAAAACAAAAGGTTCAATTAGGGCAAAATATGGCAAAGTTTGCTTCTCTCAAGTAAACTTAAGGAGGCAGTTCATAACCACATTCTTAGTATTCATTGTTTAAAAATTTCCTTATTAGTAAAAGGTAAAAGCGCTATGTAGGGATGCCAAGTTCTTTGTATCTCACTCATCTGGAAAATGTTGGTAAGTAATCAGGTTTGACAGGGATGTGCCTCCTCAGAGATTCCTCTAGAAAACACTGCAAAGGGCTGGGCGCGGTGGCTCAAGCCTGTAATCCCAGCACTTTGGGAGGCCAAGGCGGGTGGATCACGAGGTCAAGAGATCGAGACCATCCTGGTCAAAATGGTGAAACCCCGTCTCTACTAAAGATACAAAAAATGAGCTGGGCATGGTGGCGCGTGCCTGTAATCCCAGCTACTCGGGAGGCTGAGGCAGGAGAATTGCCTGAACCCAGGAGGCGGAGGTTGCGGTGAACCGAGATTGCGCCACTGCACTCCAGCCTGGGTAACGAGAGCGAAACTCCGTCTCAAAGAAAAAAAAAAAAAAAAAAGAAAAGAAAACACTGCAAAGTAGATAATTTTCCCAGATGATACAATTACAGAAAATTACTTCATGACGCTTTGAGAACAATGATAACAAAGATCCACTAGAGATAAACAGAGCTGATATCACTATGGTTTGGAGAAATGTACAAACTGCTTTTGGATTTTTGTACTGATATACTTGTAAGGCTTTAAATACAAAGATAACATTTCGGCCCTCAGAAATACAAGAATAGAAGTCACTAAGAGAAAAATCGATTTCTTATACCTAATTTTGTGTGCTCAAATGTTAAATGTTACTTCAAATTTCTGTCTTCTGATCATGAAGGTTAAGAAAGCAAGAAGCAGAAAAATATACATAAAAGCATACTTATGTTAAAAAAGGAGTATGTATATTTTTTATTGTATAGAAAATATATGGAAGGACACAAAACCAATCAATACCATCTCTACTGTATGTCTTTTTTTATAGTGTATACATTTTTTACTAAAAAAATTTTCTTGAGAAAGAAGCATCCTATTTCAGGATAGTGAATTTGATCGTCTTATAAGCAAAGAAAAACACAAAAATGTAGTTTAAATCTTTCCCTTTTCTGTATCTGTTACTAAGAGATACTTTTACATTTGCCCCTGCAGGAATATTTCAAATCAGAACACAGTTGTGGTTATGTCACTAATTCACTAAGAAATTTCACTAAAGTAATATATGAGACCAAAAAAGAAAAAGAAGGAAATGAATCACATGAAAACTACCAATTGTTGTAACATAAAAGCCCATAATAAAAGACGAGAAAATAAGAAGAGGAAGGAGAAAAAGAAGGAGGAGGAAGAATAAGGAAATAGAAGAAAGGAAGAGGAAAAGGAAGGAGGAGGAAGAGGAGCGAAGAGGAGGAGGAAAGGGGAAAGGAGGAGGAAGAGGAGACAAACAACTGAACTGTCAGGAAATGGTGTTAAATGCAAAAGGTGACTTGGAATCACATAATTAAAACTTGAGATTCAATTTGAAGAAGTACTTACCTATCTAAAGAACCATACATAAATTTTAAGGTTTGGGCTACATTTTCTATCATGCTCCTTAGCCGAGGAAGATGAACTCTAAAAAGCAAAATTATATGTATTAATTCATAGCATAATTAAATTATATTTATCTAAAAGAAGCAGAACATCTTTGAATTTTACACATATGGAATATGAAAAGTATATGTGTCAACTCTGAATAAAGGTATGTAAAATGGTCGCTTTCAACAACCATTGATCACTTTATTCTAGATTTCATTCCAGCATGAATCTAACAGGGACTTTATAACATCATTTATTGAAAATCATGTAACTCTCTCTAAAGTTCAGTTTCTTTATCTGTAAAATGAAGCCAATAATCACTAAGTCCCTCTCAGATTGATTCTGAGGATTAAATGAAATTACTGCAAATAAACTAGTTTTTACATGACCTGAGCCCATAAAAAGAAATGCTATATTCTTGACACTTTTTAGTATTACCCATGTATCAACTGGGTCTCCAAATCCTGTAACAAAAACACACTCCAAAATGAAATGGAGAAAGGGTTTAAGAAAATAGAAGAAAGGAAATAAAGAAATGGACTTATATTTTCTCACTGAAGCCTTATAAGAACTCTATAAGGTAGGTCTTATTATTCTGATTATACGAATCAGTAAATGGAAGTCCAAGAAGTTACATAATTTGTGCAGGGGTAGAAAGGGAGTAGAGCCTGCCAGTGAGCACTCATCTTCTTAGACCCAAAGTTATTCTCCCACTATCCGACAGTGTCCTCCCGGTTAGGTTTCCGCTATTCACTGCAGCCATCATGGGAGTGTGATTGTCCCATCTGAAAACACATGTGCCTCGATCATGTGCCCCACCCTGAATTCTGTGGGACAGCATTTTTTTCACCCTGCTTATAAAAGGCATAGAGGCAAGGAGGGAAACACACAGTCTATGGCACTGAGATGGACAAGGAGAAAAATCCCAGGGCTGAGTTCGATTACCAAGCATGTACAAAATGTTGGTGATACGAAGACACGTAAGTTGACACTGAGGAGGTACTTGTGTATGATCTTGAAATACTCTATTTCCAACTTTGAATAAATGACAATAATACTACCTATCTTTTATAGTTATGTGAAGTGAGATGGAGAAGGAAAATAATCTGGAACAGTGGGTTGGTATGAGCATTAAGAGAAGGATAAACAGATGGCTCAAGCTTACTTTTCACTGGAAGCTCAGGAAAGAGAATAAAGAGGAACTTCAAATTAATTCTAACTTATCAAGCCAAGTTATTTAGGATGGGAATGATGTAAATATTCAGGGAAGATGGCCTCCCTTCCTCCATTCTGATAAATAGAGTGAGAAATTGGCTAGAGCATCCCTCATGTGGTACAACCTTGATCCAGAGCTCAGCAGTGACAGTCCTTTGCTGGCTTCAGGATATAACCTCACCTGGAAACTGTCTCTGCCTAGCTGATTCAGCTGGTGTCATCAGACTGTGGTTGAACAGCCGTTGCTCAGTTCCTTAGCCAGGTCTGCCTTTCCTCTCTCTAACTGCCTATGCTACCTTTATCTTACCACTGTATTTTCTTTCTTCTCTTTTGCCTTTTGGGCTGCTACAGAAGTCTTCAAGACACATGCTACATCCTATATCATCTTATTCTGGATGTTTCCAATTCTTGTAAATCCATAATTACTTTCTTTCTTCTCTTTTTTTTTTTTTTTTTTTTTGAGACATTGTCGTGCTCTGTCACCCAGGCTGGAGTACAGTGGCACCATCACAGCTCACTGCAACCTCTGCCTCCCAGGCTTAAGCAATCCTTCCACCCCAGCCTCCCAAGGAGCTGGGACTATAGGCACATGCCACCATGCCTGGCTAATTTTTTATTTTCTGTAGAGATGGGGTTTTACCCTGTTACCCAGGCTGGTCTTGAACTCCTGAGCTCAAAGCAATCTGTCAGCCTTGGCCTCCCAAAGTGCTAGGATTACAGGTGTGAGCCACTGCCCAGCTACAAACACATGCTTTTTAAACAACTCCTTTGTTTCTCATAATCCAAACCCGTAGGACAGTCTCTGAGCAGGGTTCATTATCCTACTTTAGACAGAAAAACACACATTTTTCTGTTGTGTGGCTGGTTAAAGAGTGCCCTCATCTAATAATATATGTCACAGTGCCATTATCCCCTCATGTTAAAAGATTTCAACCCCGTATTTATGATAGATTCTATCTCTTTCTGTCCAAATTAAAGTTACCTTAAAAACATAATTATTTTGATATTTTTCACTGTAGCCATCTTTGGCATTCCTGTTTGCAACGGTAAAACATGTCCACAAATTCTTTGATACTCTTCCCCTCAAGAAGTGAAGCTTAATTCCTTTCCTGATGAGTGTGGGCTGGCTTAGTAACTCAATTTTAACAAACAGAATGGTGGAAATGACAAATACTGTGAAAATGGCAGTGTAACACTTCTAAGGCTAAGCCATAAAAGGTCTTGTAGCATCCCCCTTTTTCTGTCTTTTGGCTTACCACTTTGGAGGAAGCCAGCTGACGTTTTACGAGGATACCCAAACAGCTACATGGAGAGCTCAATGAGGCAAGAAGCTAGGCCTCCTGACAATGACCAGGTGTGTAAGCCATCTTGGAGGCAGATTCTCCAGCTCCAGTTAAAGCCTTCAGATAAGTCTATCTCTGGCCAACACTGGACTGTAACTTCAAGAAAGACCTTGAGACAGAATGACTTGCTAAGTTGCTCCTGCATTCCCAAACCACCAAAACGCCTCTGTGTTAATAAATGTTTACTATTTAAGTTTAAATTACCCCCATGTTTTTGGGAACGATGTTACACAGCAATAAAAAAATGAATGCACTGCTATATAATGAAAGAAATCTAGTTAACAAAATCATTAGTAATAAAAATAGTCATATTCATGCTCAGATTGGCTAGATAATGCATTTTTCTGGTACATCTTTTTCTTTCTTGGGAAGCTTGAAGCAACACCGAGAAAATTTATCTCAACTTGTATTCTCTGAAGTTGTATCAGTCACATACTATAGTATTTATTTTGATATTTGATTCCTATTTTGTAGACCATATGCTATGATTCTACAGATAAAAGGGGAAAACTAAAGTATGTAATTATTTAATAAAAGTTGCCCACATATCTTTTAAAGTAGGCAAAAGTCTAAATTACAAGTTTTAAAAATCATTGAACAAGAAAATAACACTATTATAATAGTAGTTAAGTCCATCTCCTTGAGGCCATTCTCCATACTTGTAGTCTATTTCTCCCTTGGTTTTCAATGTCCTGTGACATCAGGGAATCGATGTTGTAGAAAGAATTCAGACAGACTTTCAATCAATTTCCAATCCTGCCTCTTGCTGATTATGTGAACTTTGGGAAGTTATTGAACCCTCTTTTGATTTTACTTTCCTCATCTCTAAAATGGAGCCAGTAATCACTAAGTACATTTGGAAGTGATTTTGAAGATTAAATGAGTTTAATGAATTTAAGATATCTAATGTAGTCCCTGGAGCACCAGGTTAGTTTATTATAAATGCCAATCCTGCTTTTACCTACAACTATGAAAATACTGTATACTTCAAAATATATACAAAAAAGTTAAGAGGGAGACCATGATAATGTAAGATATACTATTAGAGAAGTCGCTTTTCAAAGATGCTTAACATCAGGGCAAAATACCCTTCCGCTGACCCTTAATTCTCCAAAACTTCCAACAGTAAAAAACTGTAAATATGCAAAATCCAAATCACAGTATTGTCAGAAAGTTAAGCAGAGGAAGAGCTCATTTCTCAGCCATCTCTCTGCTGACAACAAAAGAGGCAGGTGTATTGACAGCCCTCACCCTTACTAACTGGCCCAACTGAGGCTTCATGGCACCTTTCAGCATTATTCATACCAAATGAACACAGCTGACTATTTTACTAGTGCAATAGACCTTTAAGCTGTATAACTGTTCAAGGAGTTTGTCTTTTGACAAAAATGTCTAATTTTGACAAAACCAAAGTTAACATTATTGGAAATGATTTTAAGGTAAGCAAAAATCTCAACTTACTCTTCAGCAGGCAGGCCAATTAGCAACAACTTGTCAGATTCTTTCCAATAAGCCACGTGAATTTGTTTTCCATTTAAAAGGAGGGATGAACTAAGAAACAATAAATTCAAAATAAGGTTAGAATATCTTTAAATGTCATAAAATTATAAGTATTCATAAAAGACTGCATATGATATAAGAACTGCATACTTAACAAGCAGATTTCTTTTCATATACCTGTCACACAGAAAAGACAAGGAATTATATGACAATAAAAATATACTTCAGCATATTAAGAAAAACTAAAACAGAAAACTCTAGGCCAGCCTGAGTGTGGTGGCTCACACCTATGATCTCAGAACTTTGGGAGACCATGGCAGGTGGATTGCTTGAGGTCAGGAATTCAGGACCAGCCTGGCCAACATGGCAAAACTCTGTCTCTACTAAAAAATATGAAAGATAGCCTGGTGTGGTAGTGTATGCCTGTGATCTTGGCTGCTTGGGACGCTGAGTCACAAAAACTGCTTGAACCCGGGAGGCAGAGGTTGCAATGATCTGAGATTATGCCACTGCATGCACTCCAGCCTAAGTGACACAGTAAGACTCTGTCTCAAAAAAAAGAAAAAGAAAACTCTAGGCCAAACAAAAGTAGACCCATTATAGAAAAAAAAAAAAAAAAAAACAACTAAAAGTTAAAATTCTCTTGCTAACATTAAGTGACTAAATATAATTTTAATTTTCCAAAAGAAAGCTTCAAAGTTGGGTGCAGTAGATCACACCTATAATCCCAGCACTTAAGGGAGGCTAAGGTAGGAAGATCACTTGAGCCCAGGAGTTTGAGACCAGCCTGGGGAACAGAGTGAGACCCCATCTCTCCAAACAAAAAGTTGGCTGGGCGTGTCTGCATGTTCTTATAGTCCTAGCTACTTGGGGTGGGGACTGAGATGGGAGGATCACTTGAGGCTAGGAGGTCAAGGCTGCAGTGAGTCATGATTGTACCACTGCACTTCAGCCTGGGTGACAAAATAAGGCTCTGTCTCACCCCCCCCCCAAAAAAAATCAAAAAAAAAAAAAAAAAGAAAGAAAAAGAAAGGGCCGGGTGCCGTGGCTCATGCCTGTAATCCTAGCACTTTGGGAGGCCGAGGTGGGTGGATCACCTGAGGTTGGGAGTTCGAGATCAGCCTAGCCATCTAGTAAAAAATACAAAATTAGCCGGGCGTAGTGGTGGATGCCTGTAATCCCAGCTACTCAGGAGGCTGAGACAGGACAATCACTTGAACCCCGGAGGCAGAGGTTGCGGTGAGCCGAGCAACTCCAGCCTGGGCAATAAGAGCGAAACTCCATCTCAAAAATAAAAAAATAAAAAATATAAAAGAAAGAAAGCTTCATTTCAGTTGGTTAATTTAAAAAATGTTTTGTGACTGCCTATTTATGAAGTTTGCTAAAGGAAGGCATGGTCCTGGCTGAGATAACAATCAATATGGGACACAAATATATAAACAAATAACCAAAATATAAGTCAGATTTAAATGTGTTCTCAAGAAAACTTTTGGGGGTGATGAATATATTCATTGTGTTGATAATTTCAGGGTACACACCTATGTGAAAACTGATCAAATTGTACATTTTACATATGTTCAGTTTACCTCATGGTACTTCAATGAAGTTTTAAAAATTTTAGTATGTTCTAAAAAGAGATACAATAATGAACTATGATAATATAGAGAACGTAAGTGTGTGGAATTTTAAATACAAATTATTAAACGAATTTTTCACACAGAACTTTACTTTTGTCTTAACACATTTTTAAAATGCATATACTTTTAGACAAATATTAGACTCTTACAGTATACTAATATTACTACAGTTTAAAAAGTGTTGGCCAGGTACAGTGGCTCATACCTGTAATCCCAGCATTTTGGGAGGCTGAGGTGGGCGGATCACAAGGTCAGGAGATCAAGACCATCCTGGCCAACATGGTGAAACCCCGTCTCTACTAAAAATACAAAAATTAGGTGGACGTGGCAGTGGGCATCTATAGTTCCCAGCTCCTTGGGAGGCTGAGGCAGGAGAATTGCTTGAACCTGGGAGGCAGAAGCTGCAGTGAGCTAAGATCACGCCACTGCACTTTAGCTTGGGTGACAGAGCAAGGCTCCATCTCAAAAAAAAAAAAAAAAAGTATGTATGCAACAAAAGATACACACATTGCTAGGGAACCCCTAACATAATAATTTTCATATCATCATCCTCTCAAAAAAGTTTTTCTAACTGTATTTACTGCTTTCCACATTTAACTCCTCTCTCATAGTTAATAACAAAATTAAATATTAGGTAAAATAACACCTATTCTTTACAGTAGAAAAAATAAAGTCAAGAAAAAAAAAGCAAGCACACACAGAGAAAAAAATTAAATTTTCTTTCTAATAGGACCGAAAAGGAGGAGTACAACATGAAAACATCATGCTAAATGAAAGAAGCCAGTCACAAATAGCCACACATTTTATCATTTCATTCAAATGTAATGTCCAGAACAGGGATATCTATAGGAATGGAAAGTAGAGGAGCAGTTGCCCAGGGGTTGGGTTGGTTGAGCTAAAGGGTATAGGATTTCTTTGAGGTGAGAAAAATGTTTTAAGATGTACTTTCATGAGGATTGCGCATATCTGTGAATACACCAAAAACCATTTACTTGTATACTTTTACATTTATTATTTATATATATTTAAAGCATTCAAGCGCAGTTTTGATACATAGATATTGCATAGTGGTGAAATTTGGGCTTTTAGTGTAACCATCCCCTGAGGAGTGTACATTGTATCCATTAAGTAGTTTCTCATTTCTGACTCCCCTCCAGTCCTTCAAAATCTCCAAAGTCTGTTATTTTACACTCTAAGTCCATGTGTTTACATTATTTACCTCCCATTTATAAGTGAGAATATGTAATATTTGACTTTGTTTGTGTTGTTTCACTTAATATAATGGCCTCCAGTTCTATCCATGTTGCTGCAAATGACATGATTTTATTCTTAGTTATTTCTTCCATTTATTTATTTAATTTATTCTATTTATTTATTTGTTCTTTTCTATTCCATCATATATACATAAACCACATTTTCTTTATTCATCTGTTGATAGATGCTTAGGTTGATTCCATTAGCTTTGTTATTGTGAATAGCACTCATAAATATAGGAACGCAGATATCTTTTTGATATAATAATTTCTTTTCCTTTGGATATATACCCAGTCATGGGATTACTGGATCGAATTGTAGTTCTAATTTTAGTTTTTTGAGAAATCTCTGTACTGTTTTCCGGAAAGGGTATATTCATTTACAATTCCACCAGCACTGCAAAAGCATTCTCTTTTCTCTGCATCCTCACCAACATCTGCTATTTTTTGACCTTTTAATAACAGCCATTCTGACTGGTATATAAGATGTTATCTCATTGTGGTTTAAATTGGCATCTCTGATGATTAGTGATGTTGAGCATTTTTTCAAATGCACGTTATCCATTTGTATGTCTTCTTTGAAAAATGTCTGTTCATGTCCTTTGCCCACTTTTTAATGGGTTATATGTTGTTTTCTTATTGAGTTCTTTGAGTTCCTTATAGATTCTGGATACTAGTGACTTGCCGGATGTGTAGTTTGCAAATATTTTCTCTCATTTTGCAGGCTATCTATTGATGCTAGACTCTTTCTTTTGCTGTGTAGAAACTTATCAGTTTAATTAAGTCCTATTTATCTATTTTTTGTTGTTGTTGTTGCATTTGCTTTTGAGGTCTTACTCACAAATTATTTGCCTAAGTCAATGTGCAGAAGTTTTTCCTATGTTTTCTTCTAGCATTTTTATAGTGTCAGGCCTTACACTTAAGTCTTTAAGCTAACTTGAGTTCATTTTTGTATATGGTGAGAGAGCTGGGTTCAGTTTCATTCTTTTGCATATGGCTATGCAATTTTCCCAGCACCATTTATTGAACAGGATGTGCTTTCCCCAGCGTATATTTTTGTCAACTTTGTCAAAGATCAATTGGCTGTAGGCATGCAACTTTATTTCTGTGTTCCCTATTCTGTTCCATTGGCCTATATGTCTGTTTTTATGCCAGTACCGTGCTGTTTTGGTTACTATAGACTTGTAGTAAAATTTGAAGCCAGGCGATGTGATCAGGAACCCTTAGGGGTTTGTCATGCCTGGCCAAATTTTGTTCCTTTTGCTGAGGATTGCTTCAGCTATTCGGGCTCTTTGTTGGTTCCATACCAATTTTAGGATTACACATACACTTCAAATGGGTGAACTGTATCACTTATGTACTATATCTCAATAAAGATGCTTAAAAAATAAAAAGAGACCTACAATATGCTTTTATCAACCCAAATTTATAAACAAAATGGAGACTCTCGTACCACTGTATTGAAAATAAACTAACATTTTGTTTATACACTATATTAAAGTCACAGAGTTAAACATGACTTTTACTTAGTTAAAAAAGAAAATTCTTTCTATTATCTTGTAGATTCTACCTCTTTTAAAATCATAGAAATGTCATTTCTACCTGAATGGGGGGAAAATTGTTAAAGCCTAGAAAATCCAACTTGATACTTTCTCAGTATTATGGAGATTGTTGAAATTTGAGATAAAATTTCTTTGTAAAGTCTAAAATTGCTGAAATATTAAGGAAAAAATTATTTATAATTCTTAGATTTATTATATGAAAAAAACAAAACAAAACAAAACTAAAAGCTTTGAGCCTCTTCTCCCATAAATTAACTATGGCATTTCAATGTCAGGGCTTAATAAATCAATGGAATGGGTATTTGACTCTATAACTGCCTATGTGTTCTAAATATAAAATTATTTGATATCAATTTTGTTCACCCATCACTGAATAACTACACAGATGACGAATGCATCTGTCCTATTTATCTAATTTTGGTTTTGTTGTATTTGCTTTTGAGGTCTTAGTCATGAGTTACTTGCCTAGGCCAATATCCAGAAGTTTTTTTCCTAGGTTTTCCTCTAGCATTTTCATAGTGGCAAGTCCTACTTTTAAGCCTTTAACCTAATTCAAGTTAGATTAAAGGGATAAATGAGAGCTAAATAATGTGTACACATGGACATAGAGTATGGAATAACAGACATGGGTGATTTTGAAGGGTGGAAGGGTAGGAAAATTCACAGATTCTGAATTGCCCTCTTAAAGAACATTCTGTATTTTTCTATCATTGTTGTAAGAACAGAATACGTCCTAACTATATTACCAATTCTGGTGTTCAGTCATTCTTGCCAATTCTGTTTGCCACAAAGGTGTTGCCTCGCAAGTTAACAATCAGATACAGACATGAAAAAGCTGAGACTCATAATAATGCCATGCTTAAAAAATATACCTTCATGAAGAAATAATAAATATAGTCCCAAGTGTTATTTAAAATGTGCCAAAATACCCAGATTATAGTTGTGTTGAGAATCTATGCTTCAAACAGATAACTGGTAGAAATAACTTAGATGAAGCAGAAATCCACAGACTTTCTGCAGATCTAGTATCTACAATGTATAGATATATACATGTATACACATAAATTATAGATAGAAGTATATTTGTTTAACAGATACTTATTTTAGCACTTTATTTGTCAGGGTGAGGTTAAAGAACTTGGAAGAAACAGAATTAAAGCTAAATAAAAATTATTACCTAGTAACTTGTGTCCCAGTTACGTTTTCCAGCATGTCACAAAGTGTGAGAAAAATCCCTCTTACACTTTTAAGTTTCTGAGATGCTTCAGACATTGGATAATGATAAAGAATTTCCTGCTGTTAAATAAAACAAATGATCAAACCACCCAATGTTTCAACCATTATTTTTGTCAGGGAAAGTTCAAACTTTGTATTAAGAAAAGAAAAAAAATGAATCCTTTCATCTTCAGTGGAAATTTTAGTCAAATTACAAGGGGAGAAGTAACACATTAACTAGAATTTTAAATACTACACTTGAAAATAAATTATAGACTGCCAAAATTCATCATGATAACAAATAAGATACTAAGTAGGATACTGATTAATTTAAATTACAATTCATTTCAAACACTGTTTTAAACTTTAATCTCTTTAATAATAATTTATATACTAATATTTTATTATATTTTGTTAATACTATACAGCTATTCTCGTCTTCTGTAGTTACATAGCTACACAGGTACCACAAGTAACTATTAGGAGTCTTTAAATTTAATTACTTTTATACTATTTTTTAAAAGACAATAATAAACATTTTTAGTGAAATCATTAAATCCAAGTCAAGACAGCAATAAAATTTACAAAGTGAGAATACAGAACTAAATTTTAATGTAGATAAAAAGAAAAAAGTGTCACAATATTATAAAATCTTATCTATCAAATTTGAAACACTGTGCATACCACAAATGAATTTGAATTCAAACTTTAAAAGAGCATATTTTATTTTAAATCATGGAAAATACTAGATGTACAAGATAATTCACAAAATGCCTCATATTTTTTCTATTTTCAAGAAAAGCATGTCCCAGGAAACATAGTTTTCACAAAATAAAATGACAAATTTCAAAATCATGATGTGCATTGTTCTAACACTTTCATACAAGGAGATGAACCACTCTGTACCTCACTTTTTCTTGTTACTTAAAGCAACATTTATTTCTCTCACAAGGCAAAATGAAAATGTCAAGGTAGAAACCATGAAGAATTCAGAGTGGCTTCTATTTGCCCTGTTTAATGACTGTATCCATAAATATTAACATTGCCACTATTGAAAACCCAAACTTCTTCTTTTTTTTTAATTATAGTTTAAGTTCTGGGGTACACATGCAGATCTTGCAGGATTGTTACATAGGTATGCACATGCCATGGTGGTTTGCTGCCTCCATCCCCCCTTCACCTACATTAGGTATTTCTCCTAATGCTATCCCTCACCAATCTCCCCACCCCCTGCTATCATTCCCCTAGCCTCTCACCCCACAACAGACTCCAGTGTGTGATGTTCCCCTCCCTGTGTCCATGTGTTCTCATTGTTCAAAACCACCCAGTGAGAGAGTGAGAACATGTGGTGTTTGGTTGAAAACCTCAACTTCTTAAATAGGATCACATCTTTTCTCTGGTTTTCCATCTCTCTAAAGAGTATTATATACCTTTCTGTGGTCTTGATATATAATAAATAATTACATGATATGGTCTTCATGTCTTGCCAACTTTTACATTATGACAAATATAAATAAATTGGACACTTCTGCTTTTTATACTTAGTAAGCACATTCAATATATGCAAGTTGCTATAGAATATGCTGGCCAAACTCTAACAACTAAAATTTTATTGCAATAATTCTAGTGCAAAAACAGTTATAAAACATTATTTTATATCTAGAAATTAAGTCAAATTTCTGTTAAGATCTTCTGTTATGTCTACTTAATAGATATGAATCTTGGCCAATGAACACTTTTACTGCATTTAGCCAAACTACCAGACACTACATTAAACAAACAAACAAACAAAAGCCCATATACTCTAAATAGTGTTTGCAATTTCCAAGCTTATGGTCTTTACAATTTCAAATCTTGTAACCTGAAGAAGATAAGCTGTTATTAAATATGTAACTCACAGAAAACAAATGACCTTATGACATTTTATTATAAATTAAGCCATACCAGTTAAAAGAAGTCATTTGAGAAGGTCTCTCTTCCAGTCATTAAAATTTTACTATTAAAGACCTCCTGGCAAGCTCTACGGTTCCTAACCAATTTTAATTAGCTGTATTTTTGAGCTCTTAGTAGCATGCATTGGCAGCAGCTTCCACTCTGTTCAATAAGAAGAAAAAGCCTCTCTTAATTACAATGTTGATATGGGGCTTGGCAACAGACAGAAACCTGTTTTTTTGAGAAATGTCTACATACTTTCCCATGGAAAGAAAGGCAAGGTTGACAAAAGGTCTTAGCAGTATTCTACTCCAAAATGTCTTAGAAAGATTCAGGATGTTATCATTCCAGAAATTTGTTGTATGTTTTATATAACAAATGCTTAAATATTTCATTTGTTTTAAAAATATAAAGGAGTAGTACTACACACCTAAAATTAGAATTATTAACTTTAGGTATGTATGTATTGTTCAGAACCCAGAAAATAACAAAAATGTGTTTAAGTAATTCCTTCTTTGCCATTTGGATTATTCACGAAATTCTGATATATGAAGCAACACAAGGAAATGCGTCCTTTTAGAAAAAATAGCTTTAACATTGAGAATACGCACTGGAAGGATTTCAAGAAGAAAGAGCTACTGATTAGTTAAAAACCTTTTAAGTCTCACTTCTGTTCAAAGCATTATGCTTGACTAGATCCTCTGAGAGACCCTTGTGCTGTAAAACCAGGTCTATGGCCAGAACATACTTGTCAAATTGCTGACATGCAAGAAGCAGAGAGGTTTCCAAGGACAACCTTCCAATCGCCTCCATTACTGCACAGCAAGTTAGGGCCTCTGCTGGGAGTTGAGCGGTGGGCAGAAGGACAGAAGCAGGGCTGTCCGTCAGGTGGGTGAGCTGAGCCTAGAACCACTGTGTTAAGCCCACAGCCTCAATTAAGGCTGAAATAGCCTAGGTCAGTGGCAAAATCATAAGAAACAAATTATCTCTGCAGGAGAGCACCTGCTCATTAGAACCATGGAACTCCCAAAGATAAAATCAAGCAATAAGTTTAGTCAGAGATCCCCAAGGACATAAGAAGGCAAGTGAGAATCCTCTCAGGACTAGAGCTAGTAGAATGGGAAGATACAGAACAGAGAGGAGCTATGTAAAAAATGTTCAAGGTATAGAATCACAAAGATGAGCAAGTAACAAGGGACCACCAGGAATATCATGGCAGATTTGAAATGCTGATTAAATACTTTTCAGAAACTTCTAAAAATAAATAGGTAATTGTTTAAATAGAAAACACAATGGAGAGATTAAACAACAGTTTGGGCATAGAAGAAGCAAAAAGCTGAACCAACACAAGAAAAGGCACATTCCTTACAAAGCAATGACAGACTGACAGTAGACTTCTTAACAGCAATAATGGAGGTCAAAAGCAAAGGGATACACCATCTTCAAATAGATTAGAGAAAATAACTATCTGCATAGGTGGCACAAGCAATCCCATGTATTCACTTGATCTTCTTCCTGGCCACACAGGAAGGCTACATTTCTTACTTCTTTGCATATGGCTAGACCATGCAACTAATCCTACCCAATGGAACATGAGCAAAAATGATGTTACTTCTTTCAAGTCAGGTCTCCAAAATGTCCCGTGTGATACTGCCTGCCTTCTCTCTTCTCTCATTGGCCAGTTAGATGCAAAAGATCTAGCAGAGGACTCCCAAGTCCTTGGGAATAATAAGAACACTAGAAGAAGGGCTGGAGTCACTGAGCCACAAGACCAGGAATGTTTAAATGAAATGAGAACTAAACTTTCATCATGTGAAGACACTGAGACATTAGGGTTGTTTGTTATAGCAATTAGCCTACTCAAATGAATACAATCTAGAATTATCAAGCTACCTTTCAAGAAGTAAAAGAAAACATCATCAGATAAATAACAGCAAAAAGAATTGATCACAGTTTCACTAAAGAAATGTTTAAAATACATGTTTTAAGAAGATAATGATCCAATAAGGACAGTTTCAGATGTAAGAAGAATGATGAGTAAAGAAAATATGAGGCATAATTATAAATTTAAACGAGGTACAGCTGTATGAAATATATAGTTACATAAAGACAAATATATGTAATATATAATTATATTTATACATTTTATAATATACAATTTATATATGGGTATAAAATATACTTAATTTGTAATTTTTTTTTTTGAGACAGAGTCTTGCTCTGTTGCCAGGCTGGCATATGGTGGCCCAATCTCGGCTCACTGCAACCTCTGCCTCCCGGGTTCAAGTGATTCTTCTGCCTCAGCCTCCCAAGTAGCTGGGACTATAGGTGTGCACCACCACACCCAGCTAATGTTTGTATTTTTAGTAGAGATGGGGTTTCTCCATGTTGGCAAGGATGGTCTGGTCTCGATCTCCTGACCTTGTGATCTACCCACCCACCTCAGCCTCCTAAAGTGCTAGGATTACAAGTGTGAGCCACTGTGCCCGGCCTTAATTTATAAATTTTGTGGTGCATAAAATGTAACAATTATAAGTAGTAGTAGTATAACTGTGAATGATGGAGAAAAGAGCACTAAAATACTGACAACAATAGCATGTAGTAAAGAGAAGGGTAACTGAAGCTAAGGTATATTAAGAGTTTTGAATTATTTGAAAAGGAGTTAAAATAGTGTTTAGAATCTGTAAAGACAAATATCATGATAAAATTTTAAGTGTAATCATTTTAAAAATAGAGCATATAGCAAGAATAATGATACAAGCAACCAAAAATAGGCAAGGAAATATCACAGAAAAAGCAGTTTCAATAGAAATTTTTAAAGAAGACAGCAGAAATGAATTCAAATATATCAGTAATCTCTATAAATGGACTTACTGAGTTTGTCTGTTAGAAGAGAGAGACTGCCAGATTGGAAATAAGCTGTGTGTAAAAGACATGTAAAATACATAAAGACATGAACTGAGAAAAGAAAGAAAAAAAAGTCAAATACTTATAAAATAAAGCTCTATGATATTAAATATTATTTTTAAAATGTTAATGTTAAAAAAGGACTTTAAGACAGAAACAAACTAGGGTAGAGAAGATCATATCATGATATCAAAAAGTTCAGTTCTCTGGGAAGATTTAATAATTCTAAATATTAATTGTCTCAAAATAGATAAAGAAAAAATATTTAGAAAGGGAGGGAAAAATGGACAAATCCCCATCAGAGGGGGTGATTTTATGTTTTTCTTTTCTTTCTTTTTTTTTTTTTGAGACGGAGTTTCATTTCGCTCTTGTTACCCAGGCTGGAGTGCAATGGCATGATCTCAGCTCACCGCAACCTCCGCCTCCTGGGTTCAGGCAATTCTCCTGCCACAGCCTCCTGAGTAGCTGGGATTACAGGCACGCGCCACCATGCCCAGCTAATTTTTTTTGTATTTTCAGTAGAGACGGGGTTTCACCATGTTGACCAGGATGGTCTTGATCTCTTGACCTCGTGATCCCCCCGCCTCGGCCTCCCAAAGTGCTGGGATTACAGGTGTTTTTCTTAATTATAAATAGGAAAAGCAGACAAGAAATTAGTAAAAGATAAAACTGAACGAAACAATTAACAGCCTCAAAACACTGATGTTGAAAGAAAGGCACAGAATTTGGAAAGCAAAACATTTCAGCTTAAATAGAAATTCTGTCAGTTACTAGCCATGTGAACTTATACATTTTACTTATCTTTACTAGAATTGTTTCCTTTACCCGCAAATAAAAATAACCAATATCTAAAACTAGACAAAAGTAGTTGTTCAATAAATAATCAAAAGTGACTAAAAAATATGTAAAACATAAAAACTATAACCTATGTAAGAAAGTTAATGCTACATATTCCTGCATTAAAAGCTATTAATAGCAGGAGAGGATTGATTGTAACAGGGCACAGAGGAAACTTTTTGAGGTGTTAAAAATGTCCCATATCATGATTGTGATGCTGGTTTAAAATATATTTGTCAACACTCATCAAACTGTACACTTAAAATTGTTGAATTTTATTATGTACAATTAATACTTCAATGAAACATATAAAAAAAGCTAGAGACCTTAGCTTCTAAGTTAAAAGATATTGCAACAATACCTTCCTCTTTTTTTCTACTGAAATAACTGAATAATTTTTCATTTTAAAAACATTTGAAGTATGAAATATTCGAATCTGTAACAGAGTATTAGATATGCAATTTTAAAGAACAACAGTTAATTCATTTTTGTTTTTCCTTAAATCAAATATACTCCCCATTCACTGGGAATACGATAAAAGGTCCTTACTTTTTTCTTTGTACTTTTGAGGATACTCACCTCTTCCTTGGAGGTTTCTGAGTCGAGCTGTAGTGTGAGATACATAATGATATGAGGAGTGTTTAGGCTACTCTGCTGGGTACCTTCAACCTCTTCTCCCCAGAGAAGCTTGACTAAATCACTTGTGTTCGACCGTGTCTTTTTCTGTCTTGGTTGGGATGTCTCCTTTTTCACAGCATATGCATTTTCAAATGTCAGTTTTACCTTTAAAAGTTAAAACAGTGTGTTGATTTTTCAACAAGGGAAAATCAACTGCAGTTTTCACAAAGAAGGATCTATGTGTGCACATACACCCAGGTATGTACAGTTTGTATAAATCATCCTAGAGTGAGGGCTCCTGATGGCAGGTGCTGTGTATTCTATTTATATTTGTATATCCAGCTCCTAGCAGAATGTCTGATATATATTACCACAAATATTTATTGAATAGGAATGTATAATGTTCTGTATAAAAATTTATTTAATTAAAAATCATCACTGCAGTTTGAATTATTGACTATAAAAATAAGAAAGGCCATCAAAAACCAGAAATTAGTATTATCTGATAGTGAAAAAAAAACACCACAATATGAATGCTGACAGTACTGGGTCATCTAGGAAGATAGAAGGAAGAGATTCAGCATTAAGAGTGACTTCGCACAACCAAAGTTAACTCTCCTTCCAAATAAGGTGGTATTTCAAATATCTTTATCTCAGGCACTCTTTCTGGTTCTTTAAACAAAGGCCAAGGGGAGTAAACACTGTCAACATGCTGGATCTTAGACCAACATGGTCTAAGAAGATTATCTATCATTTATCAAGATAGTTTTAATTTCATGGCCTGATGTCAAAATTGGTAAGAGTCCAGAATGTGGCCATTTTCCACAGGTATGGAAAGGTAGCCTCCACTTCTCAATTACCTAACGGTTCTGGTGCTGGTCTGTGGCCTGGCGTTGGGGACCCCAGGTGTAAGAAGTGCCCTTATCTTTAGGAGATACATGCCCAAGTACTTAGGGATGAAATATTAAAATTACCTATCCTTGAAAAAGGAAATATTTGCCTAGATGCCAGTTGGTCAAAGATAGCTCGTTCATTTCAAAGAAGCACCAAAATTAGCCACACATAGAAGAATGAAACTGTAACTCTCACTGTACACAAAATTAACTTAAGATGGATTAAACACTTAAATATAAGACCTGAAACCATAACAATTCCAAAAGAAAAGCTACTCTTTGGACACTGGCCTAGACAAAGAATTTATGACTAAGACTCTGAAAGCAAATGCAACAAAAATGAAAATAAATAAATGGGACCCAATTAAACTGAAAAAGCTTCTGCATAGCAAAAGAAATAACAGAGTAAACAACTTACAGAATAGGAGGAAATAGTTGCAAATTATGCATCTGACAAAAAACTAATATTCAGAATGTATGAAGAACTCAAATCAGCAAGAAAAAAGTAATCCCACTAAAAAGTGGGCAAATGATTTGAATAGACATTTCTCAAAAGAAGATACACAAATGAAATATGAAAAAAAATGCTCAACATGACTAATCATCAGGAAAATGCAAGTTAAAACAAAATGAGGTACCACCTTACTCCAGCCAGAATGGATATTATTAAAAAGTAAAAAAACAATAGATGGAGCAGACATGGTGAAAAAGGAACGCTTATGATCTGCTGGTGGGAATGTAAATTAGTACCACCTCTATGGAAAACAGTATGAAGACTTCTAAAAGAACTAACAGCAGATCTATTACTAGATAAAGCAATGCCACTACTGGGTATCTATCCCGAATTCCTTTATCTGAGAATGAGGATTTAGGAGTATCCACAAGAAAATATATGGAAGCCTTTGGCGGTGTGCTCTGGAAATGTGAGAACTCCTTGGGGAATTCCTGAGTACAGACTTTGTAACAGACAGATGAGAGCTCTGAAGATTGTCCCCTGGCATTGGACTTTAGGAATAACTCTGAGTGGAGATGTGTGAGCGGTATGAAAGGGGAGAAATCAGATCAGAGGGAGCATGAGATGAGTCACATCCTGGGGAAGCAGGTGTCACAGAGATGAAGCTGGGTGTCTATGAGAGTTATGCATAAGCGGTGGTGACAAGAAGGTGGTTCCTCAGAAAAAAGAAATGCATCTCAGAACAGGGAAGGCATTTTTTCCCAGCTGAGATTCCTATAGGTGGAAAGGTCAAAAGATAGGGTGCAACCTACCAAAAATATAAAAGAGAAAATTTTAAGTCTACTAAAAATAGACTTAAAAATTCACTATTTTACTTTAGGTAGCAGCAACAACCTAAAATTTCAGATTGGTTTGCTACGCTTGGTTAAAAACAACATACTTGAAAACTAATGTTATGCTTGGCAAACAACGCCATTTCTTTTCTGTGGTGCAAGGACCTTTTTGTCTCACTACAACAAAAACTCAAACAAAAACACACACCACAGAACCATCCATTAAAATTCTTTAAGGAACTATTTCAGCCACCATTCTTCTGATTTAAGTAAAGTTGGCTACATAATACAAAGAAAATGATATTTTAAAAAGACATTTTTAAAAGCTGACCTGTTAAGTAGCTATAAATGAAAGGAAATCTGGTTGCCTTGATAAAATGGTAAAGGGTGAGACAGATAACCAAATTAAGAGTTAAGTGCTGTTTTTAAAAATGGGTTGATATACATAAATATTAGGGATATTATGTGTTTTTATAGGGGAAAACTTTTATTAAATGATATCTAACGTCAGTTAGTTTATATGAAGCTTCGTATGAAGGGTTTTCTCTTATTACTTGGTGAGACTTTAACCTGGGACAAGGTTCAGGATCCTTCATGTCCTGTGTCCCTCTTCCTTGTGCAGTTTGCCCAGCCTTTCCTTAGACCCGAGGCTGTGCTCTCTATGACTCTTCACTTCCAAAGTCTTGTCACGTTGTCTTTTCTTTCTACTTCAGTCTTTGGCCCATCCTATTTAAAAAGCAACATCTCTTCCAAACAAAGAAATCATCTACCAAACAAAGAAATCCTCTGACTCCCCTTTAGCTACCATTCTCTTCACAGATGGGACCTGGGGAGGCTGTCAGAATCTGAAGCAGCTCCAGAAGCTGATAAGTCTCCCACCTCTGCTTCAGTCTGCACTGTCTCTCCCATCATTTACACTGCTCTCTGCATGTCTCATCCTTTCCCCGTTGGCTAACAGCTGGCAGATGCTTTCAATGCTCCTTGGTCAAAATTCTGAGGGAATCGAGTCTGACTCGCTTAGCAGATTATCTCTCCTCCATCCTCTTCTCCTCTTGGGTCACCTCACTGACTGACCCAAGACAAAACTTGGAAGGCTTCTTGGAATTCTGTCTCTTTCCTGTAAAAAGTACGGTTCTCTTTCCTTCCTCTATATCCTTTTTTTTTTGAGACAGAGTCTCACTCTGTCTCCTAAGCTGGAGTGCAGTGGTGTGATCTCGGCTCACTGCAACCTCCACTTCCTGGGTTTAAGCGATTCTCTGCCTCAGCTTCCCGAGTACCTGGGAATTACAGGCGCCCACCACCATGCCCAGCTAATTTTTCTATTTTTAGTATAGATGGCATTTCACCATCTTGGCCAGGCTGGTCTTGAACTCCTGACCTTGTGATCCACCCGCGTCAGCCTCCCAAAGTGCTCGGATTACAGGTGTTAGCCTCCCTGCCCGGCCCCTTCCTTCCTCTGTATCTTAATCTAATCTCTTCCTCCTCCATCTCTGGCAAACACCTTTGCTCTGGCCTTTATCACCTCTCTTCTGGACTACTGCAAACCCAGCCACCTTGTTTCCTGACCTCCAGTCTTGCATCTGTCTCCCTCATCCAGAGTGATATAGTCCTAAAACGGAAATCTGGTCATATAAAGTCCTCCACTTTAAAATGTTGATATAAATGGTTTCTTCTGGGTTCTGAGAATAGAGATTTACAAATATTTTTAAAATTTTACTAGTTTGCTTTCTAATATTTCCACAGTATATGTTATTTTTGTGTAACGAGAAAATAATAAAAGTTAAAACATTCCACTCAAGAATCATCTCCTTTAGGAAGCCTTTGTCCCCTCCTTTAGGCCTAACAACTACCTGAGAGAGGAGTCCAAGACTACTAATCTTATGGCTATTCTCCTAGAAAAGGAGTTAGGTTTCTCCAAAGTTCTAGGAAAGCCAGCTACAGCCCAGTGCTAAATGAAATCAGTCTTGGTTATCTGTAAAATTTGGACCCAAGCTCTCAGATAAAGTCAGGGGAGGGGGTAATGTACTACATGCACGATTATATGTACCTGTTGAATAAATGAGAGCACAGAGCTGTTGCAACAGATCAGGTTGCAAAAGTCAGCAATTACGTGGGTATTCACACATTTTGTTTTAGAAATTTTAAGCCTACAGAAAAGTTGTAAGAAAGAGTGCAATGATTGCCCATAATCCCACACCTAATGGCACTATTAACATTTTGTCACATTTGCTTCATTTTGTCTCTTCTCTCTGGTCTTCTTTTCCTTTCCTTCCATACTCCTCCCTTCTCTATATGTATTTTTTAAGCTTTTTGGCTGAACCGTTTGAAAACTACTCACAGATATTTTACTACTTCATCCCGAAGTACTTCAGCATGTATCTCCTAAGGACAAGGGCATCATTTTACACCAGGGGTCCCCAACCCCCAGGCCACAGGCAGGTACGGGAATCATTAGGAACCCGGTGGCATAGCAGGAGGGGAGTGGCCAGTGAGCGAAGCTTCGTCCATATTTACAGCCACTCCCCATCACTCACATTACCGCTTGAGCTCTACCTCTGGTCAGATCAGTGGTGACATTAGATTCTCCCAGGAGCACAAAAACTATTGTGAACTGTGCACGCAGGCGGATCTTGGTCGTTTAATCCTTATGACAATCTAATGCATGATAATCTGTCACTGTCTCCTGTCACCCCCAGATGAGACCATCTAGTTGCAGGAAAACAAGCTCAGGGCTCCCACTGATTTTATATTATGGTGAGTTGTACAATTATTTCATAATAATAGAAATAAAGTATACAATAAATGTACTATGTTTGAATCATCCTGAAACCATCTGCACTGATGATCTAGGGAAAAACTGTCTTCCATGAAACTGGTTTCTGGTGTCAAAAACGTTGGGAACTGCTGCCTTACATAAAACATGTAATTATCACACTTAGGAATTTTAACATCAAATATAATACTCTTGCCTAATACAGTCCAAGTCCAGATTTCCCCAGTTGTCCTAATACCGATATTTCCCACTGCAATCTAGCAACAATCCAGGATTATTCACCACATTTAGTTGTACGTCATTTGGTCTAGCTTACTCTAGACCAGTTCTCCAGTCCTTTTTTGTCTTTCATTATATTAACATTTTTGATGAATTTAAGACACCTGTTTTAGAAAATGTTAAAACTTGGCTTGAAAAGGAATGATTTAGGCTTTTACTTCATTTGTATAAAGGCTTCACTTCCAGATTTCATTCTGGTATCCTGAATGTATTTATTACAGAAATGGCTTAAAAAGCAAACACAGAATTGTAAAGTTGAAATTGCGTTCAGTGATCACCCTCTCAAATCCCTTCTGATTATAGACAAGGAAACTGAAACCCAGAAGAATTTGGAAGTTTGTTCAGAGTGAGGCTTAAAATGGAGATCTGACCTCCTTCTCCTCAGTAACCTTTCTGCCACATTACACTATCTTTTAGGCCATGTTCTATTAGGTGAAAAGAGGCTTTTAGACCTCTTTTATAGTCTGACTATATGTTTAAAATGTTACTGTTAGATAGTTCCAAATTTAAATGCGAAAGTCTCCTATGGCATTCTCTACAGATCAGCTTTCTTCTCTAATTGCTTGAATAATTGTTTCAAATGCCGCAGATATAAACCAGGTCAAGCAACTTTTTCTGGGACAGACCCATCTCATTAGTTCTGGCCCAGCAAGAACAAAGGGATGCAGACACCAAGCTCCACAAAGCTGTGTGTGAAATGCAAAGATCATGCTCTAGAGTCAATATGGGTTCCGGTTCATTGAGTAGTTCTGTAACACTGGGCAAATCATTAAACCTCTCTTAGATTCTTTTCCTTCATGTATAAAATAGTACTAATTATTGAAATCTTACAGGTTGTTGTGAGGAATAGATAAAATTCTTAAAGGAACAACAGAAGCAAAGCACCCGACAGTGTCTGCTACACGCAACACTAGACTTCCCTTCCCAGTCCTTCTCCCGCCTCCCTGAACTCCTAGTGTACACAGCCTCAGGGAAATGGCTGGTAGTGAAAAGCTTATAGTTTATACCCCCTCTCAACATGAACAAAGTAAGAAAAATGTAGTTTACTAATTAAATATGATTTCTAGTCAAAGGAATTTTAACTATCTTTCATAGTTATTAAAAATATATTGCCTTAAATGCAGTTCTTGCTTTTGAGAAAAACAGCTATAACACCAATTCTGCTAGTAAAACAAACAAACAAACAAATAAATGCATGCATGTTTATACTTATACTAGAGATGGGGGTGAAGCAGGGAGGGGAAGGAATAAGAATGAATGATATATGCAAAAATGTTAATAGTCTCTTCAGGTATGAAAGTCTAAGAGATTTTATCCCTTACTTTTTTCTCTTTTCCAAAATTTCTTTGTATTTTTTTTAAGAGACAGAGTCTCACTCTGTCACCCATGCTGGAGTGCAGTGGCAATCGTGACTTATGGTAGGCTCAACCTCCTGGGCTTAAGCAATCCTGCCTTGGCCTTTCTAAATACCAGGGTTACAGAGGTGAGCCACCATGCCTGGCCTAGTTTTCAAAATTTCTACAATGAACAAGTATTTTCTTTTGTGATAACAAAAAGAGTTACGCCTATTTTTCTAAAATAACACAAAGATTTTAATAGTATACACTTACAAAGGGATTACATTCTAAAGGTATAGATAGTCAAAATCCCTTTGAAATTATATTAGGAAGACATTGCTGTGTTGAAATACAACATAGTTTCTCAGTATGATAAATCTAACTCACATAGTCAGGTTTTTCCATCTTCAAGACAAACTATTTCTTCAGGCACCAGATGTAAGAACTGGAACTTAAGAGCCACATTGTATTAAAAAATATATCTTTAAATTCAGAACTGTACTTTGCAGCAAGATGCTCATGGTGTACAGGCAAACTGGGCAAATAGCAGATACCTGACACCTCTTGTGTGTTTAACAAGGACAGGTTAATTGCGGACGGAACTGATCTAAAATATTTAAATCCTTATTTCTTTCCCCCCTTTTTTCTTCTGCTAAGTATGCACAGCTGAATTTGCAAAAGCTAATTAAATGTAAGTATAATGTGATTCCACTATACACATAACTTTTCATTTTTTTGAAGACAGAATAGACATGATTGAACTCTGGCAATACTGGAAGCACACCTGCAACCAACATAGGCAAGGAAAGGGGATCACTCACTTTGGGATAATACATAGCTACTCGACTTGGAGGAAGCTGACTCGTTAAAATACTGCAGTTCTTCACTATTGATCAATAAGTAGCTGCTTTCTGAGCACCCTGAAATACCCCAGTACCCTCCCTGAGATCTCCCCACATCTAGTGACTAAGGTAGATAATAGCACAACCTACTCTGGCACCATGGCTGGCTGATGTCCACTTGATTGTTACTATTTCAAACACCACCCCACCTCCATCTCCATCTCGCTATCCATTCCTAGGCATTGCTGTTCTCAGCTGCCATAGTTATCCCAGCACTTTCATTTTACATTTCCGAGGACAGCTAAATTTACAGAGCACCTGTGTATGTGTGTGTGTGCATGCGTGTGTGGGCATGCCTGCATGCACACACATACACGTGCATACAAAGTGTGTTTAAAAGAAAGAAATGGGCATTAGGGAAATCTTGCTTCCTCGAAAATGAGGAATTTCATCATGTGCCTTATTATTTCAGAATCTCAAATCAGATGCAGCTAAGATTCTGATTTATCAGGGATTCTGACCAATCCAAAAACGACTTCATCCTCTCACTGCCTGATGGGTCCTCTAACCCAAAAGTGTCCACCCTTTTTGGCACCAGGGGCTGGTTTCATGCAAGACAATTTTTCCACAGACCAGGATGTGGGGGATGGTTTTGGGATGATTCAAGCATACCACATTTATTGTGCACTTTGGTTCTATTATTATTATAATACATTATATTACATAATGAAATAATTATACAACTCACTGTAAGGTAGAATCAGTGGGAAGCCTGAGTTTGTTTTCCTGTAACTAGATGGTCCCATCTGGAGGTGATGGGAGACAGTGACAAATCATCAGGCATTAGATTCTCATAAGGAGCATGCAACCTCGATCCCTTCTTTGCATGCACAGGTCACAATAGGGTTCATGTTTTTAGAAGAATCTAATGCCACCGCCAATCTGACAGGAGGTGGAGCTCAGACACTAATGTGAACGATGGGATGTGGCTGTAACTATAGATGAAGGTTTTCTTGTTGCCCACTGCTCACCTCCTGCTGTGGAGCCCAGTTCCTAACAGGCCACAAACCACTACCAGTCCATGGCCCAGGGTTTGGGGAACGCTGCTCTAACTCATACAAAGCATATCATCTTCCGTATCCTCCCAAAAAGAGAACGCTAATTCCTGATGCTATCTGGAACAGAGTATTCATAAGAAAAAGGTACAGCATTTGCAAAATATACCTAATAACTGAAAAATGTCACCTATGATACACAGTGTCAGTGTTCAGGTATCAAAATGGCTTTTTATGAAATAAATTTATTTTTATATAAAAGGATTGAAAAATAATTCATTAAGTAGCCAAACAAAAGTCTAGGAGAAAAGCTTAATTAAATTTTAAAAAATATCAAGAAACTTATATAGATTTTAAAACAAAATCTTATTGGAAAAAGAAACTTTATAGCAATAGTGATCTTAATAAGTCAGAGAACAGAAAACTCCATGACTATTTAAAATGACTCCTCTAGGAACTAGATTGTCAAAAGCATATATGGTAGTTATGATGGCAAGTTTGTAATTATATATGTTTTCATTACTGTGGCTGTTACTGCTTTATGTAGGAAAAGTTTTATTTGTAGATATTTTTCTCTCTTTTTAGAATAATCTCCAAAAGCTAATAATATTAGCAAGAGCTAAATTTTCTTAAATAGCCAAGTGTCAATGTAACTCATCCATTATACATGATACGTTTCAGTAGCTTAAAAAAGAAAATAGTACAGGATGTATTTCTTTTATGTAACATTGAAAAATATAGAAAAAGAATGTCCATACCTGCATAGGTCCAGGAATGCAAGACAGAACTCTCTCTATGTTTTCAGAAGTAACATCAACATCATTCACAGCAACAAGGACATCACCTGAATCCAGAATAACAATAAAAGATAGATGTATGAATATCCGAAAACCAGAGAGGTCTAAATTGGAACATTAAACAGCTACTCTGACCTCCTCAAAGTACAATGAGAAATATGGTACAGACAAGCAGTAACTTGTCCAGGTTTATACAGCTCAGTGGTGGCAGGGCTAATCTAACTTTACTCTTCTTAATCTATAATACTGCCCAACATTGCACCATAACTAAATACAACTTATAAATATTTTAAGAGATGAATATTTTCATTCTTGATACAATTGGGAGAGTTATGTAAACCCAAAGGACAAAAGGAAAATTTGTAGCATGAACCAAATACTGTACTTGACAAAACTGAATCTAACCACTTAGACCCACAGTAAACAATACAAAACAAAATAATAAAACAAAACAAAGAAAACCAGCTGAAATTCATATTAAATCCATGTGGCACATCGTAACTCAATATGCTACGGTATTCACTTCTGTTACTGATCTATGTCTACACATAGTTTTTTGCTTCAAAGGCCCCAACCATATCAAAATACACTGCATGTTTGGTAAAAATCTCTTTTCCATGCACTTAGAAAAATGTGTTATGTTTGCCAAATCTGATAATAAAATAAAAATCAGTGTTAAAGTGGAAATTTACTTTCAGACCATAATTAAAGATACTATCAAAATACCAGTGAGCTATATTAATAGAAATATAGACATACCAAAGTTATTTTTCTCATCGTTTCTAAATATGTTATTAGGAAATTGATGAAATAATTCATATTCATCCATTCATTTAACAAATATTTACTGAGCATTTACTGTGTACCAGGCACTGTTCTAAGCACTAGAGACAAATAATTAAACAAAGACAAAATCTCCACCCTCAGGGAGCTTACTATTCTTTGTGAAAGATGGATAATAAACATACAGGTTGAGCATTCCAAATCCAAAAATGAAAATCCAAAATGCTCCAAAATCCAAAACTTTTTGGGCACCAACCTGACCCTCAAAGGAAATGAAATGCTCACTGGAGCATTTTGGATTTGGGATTGTCAGATTTGGGATGCTCAAGAGGTATGTAGAATACAATATTCAAAAAAAAAAAAGAAAGAGAAAAAACCAACAAATCTGAAACACTTCTGGTCCCAAGTATTTTGAAGAAGAAGGACTCAACCTGTATATGTAGAATCATGTTGGTAGACAATTCTTCATGAGTCTCATGTTTCTGTACATCTTATAAGCTGAGGCACTGAAAGACTTCGTTCTAGACTGTCTTTTCAAAGATGTTCCTATAATGAACACCCTTGGGCAATAGAGATAGTGTTTCCATCCTGAGCTAAGGTCAAGCTTGTTTATTGAATGGTATAATAAGGTCAATGCTGTGCTCAATATCTTATTGTTAATAACTTTTCTTTATAAAAGATTGGTGTTCCCTAAGTTCAGAGTTCCTTTCCTTTAAGGCAACCCATTATTAGGCATCACTTGGCCATCTTCAGGGTTGGCAAACAGATGAAAAGGTTGACACTTTAGGTACTGCTATTCCTCCATTACTGCTATTCCTCCATTTTTCCTTCCTCTCCTGGATACTCTATTATATGGGAAAGGGGTTAAGTGCAGAGTGAGCAGTAGTTTCTTAGGCCATCTGTGAAGGCTTGAACTAGGTTTACATGCTCAAGAGATACAACTCAGATGAGAGTGTTGCAAGCACGGGCACCAAGTCATTATGATGGTTAACTATTATAGCACTTTGGGTAAACTTTCCCTAAAAGTAAAAACTTGCAGACTAAAACTTTCAATTTCAAGTCTACTCGGGAAAAAAATAAAAAAACCCACAACAATATGCCTGTTTAATTTCTCCTATATAAGAGATTAAACAAGAGTACTATATCAAATTACTTAGAGCTGTAGTGATTTTAAAAAAAATAAAGGAATGATGAACACTGTGTAGCTGTGTCAATGTAAAATAAAGCCACTTTTGGACTACCCTAATGATTAGTTCTATTGTCTATAGTTTATTCTCAGGGCACAGAAATAGTAAAACCATTTTAAATTTGTTACTTCAAACTAAAACTCCATTGGATGATGTCCCAAATGACTTTTTTCTCCAAATCCTAATGAATACATTTCTGAGTGTTATAGGGAGTATCATCTAAAAGTATTAAGTCTAACAAACCTCTAAAAAGAGAAGTCTCATCACAAAAATATATAAAAATAAATTTTAAAATCAAGTGTAGTATATCTAATATTTAAAAATGTTTAATAGAGAAATGTTCCCATTCTAGAAAGGCAGTATTTGTATATACTTCTCATTCTCCCAGAAATTTGTTTTCCTTTAGTGTTTCTGAGCACTTCTCTGAAGCGACTCAGAGATGGCCGGCTTCCTGGACATCACACCCTTGCACTGGACATCCTACACTCCAGGAAAGGTCTTTCTCAATAAGTACATGGGAGTCACTAATATGCTCTGTACCATTTCAAAGGCTGAAAGGAAATGAACTATATGATTGTTTTGCATTGCTTAATAAGAAATGGCCTGGGAATTATTGATGGGTAGAAACAAATTTTTTATTAAGAGATATATTTAAGCAACAAACAAAATATTTTTAAAAAGAAATCAGTTTATCACAGTTCTTTAACGTGAAGTTAATTGTGTGAGAAAAACCATCAATTTCTCAATATATCCTTAACATCAAACAACATATGTGTACTAAAGGGCTACTGCATAAGGCACCAAGGGCTATGAAAATATATATGCAAAAGTTGGTTTACTGCTGTGTTTATACAATATATAAAATGAATATATGACTTAAATATTTTTGAAACAAAATTACTGTACACAAATGTAGGAAAAAGAAAAAATATATATCAAAATGTTGCTTTTGGGTATATGGAATTTTTCTTTTTGCTTAATTGTATTTTCTAAATTGTCTACAATTAACATATATTGTTACTATTACAAAAAGAAAAAAATTCATATTTTACCAAAAAACCCCCAACTGTGGTAATTGCCCTCCAAAGATGTCTATGTATCAATCCCTGAAATCTCTGAATATGTTACCTTACACAGCAAAAAGGACTTTGCAGAGGTAATTAACTTAAAAGACTGGAAGATTATCCTGGATTATCTGAGTGGTCCTGAGGTAATAATAAAGGTCTTTATAAGAGGAAGGCAGAAGTGTCAGGGTCGGCATAAGAGAGACTGGAAGATGCTACGCTGCTGGCTTTGATGATGGAGGACAGGACCACAAGTCAAAGAATCATGTGATTCTTCCCTGGAGCCTCCAAAAGGAGGTAGTCTTGTGGACACCTTGATTTTCATAAAGAAGAACTATTTTAGACTTCCAGCATACATTACTGAAAGATGATAAATTTGTATTTTTTAAAACCACTAAGTTTGTGGTAATGTATCCCAGCAGCAATAGAAGATGAATGCCCTATCTTAATAATGCAAAGAAATACTTGTGATGGGAGAACGATCCAAGATGGCCTATCGCTAACATCTCGGGATTGCAGCTCTCAGTGAAAGCGCAGAGAACTAGAGGACGCCACACTTTCAGACAAATTCTGGTCGCTCACAGAGCAGAAGATCCCCAGTGGAGGAATCACATGGGTCGCCAGCGCGACTCTTGTGGCCGGCGCAGCGGTTTCGCCGGCACCTCGGTGCGGCAGCTCTCAGCACAGAGTAAACGAGACTAGTTCCCCTTCTGACCGAGGTTTGGAGCCCTGGGAAGCCAGAGTCACCTATTACGGACACAAGAAGGAAGCCAGACAGGAGAATCCTGGGCAGAAAAGCACCATCAGTCTTAATGCCGCTGCTCTGGCCCTGGGAACTAATAACTTGGACGTCCACTCAAGAGACCTAATCTGAAAGTTGGTAATTTCAAAGACGACAGGAGGATAAATTTACAATGATGGGAAGAAACCAGCATAAAAAGGCTGACAATACTCAAAATCAGAACGCCTCTCCCTCTAAAGATGATCACAGTTCCACATCAACAATGGAACAAGGCTTGATGGAGAAGGAGTGCATCCCAATAACAGAATCACGCTTCAGGGAATAGATAATAAGAAACTTCTGTGAGTTAAAAGAACATGTTGTAGCCCAATGTAAAGAAACCAGGAACTTTGAAAAAAGGTTTGATGAAATCCTATTGAGAATAGACAACTTAGAGAGCAATATAAGTGAATTAATGGAACTGAAGAATACAATACAGAAACTCCGAGAAGTATGCACAGGTTTAAACACTCGAATTGTTCAAGCAGAAGAAAGGATATCAGAGGTCAAAGTCCAACTTAATGAAATAAAACAAGAAGACAAGATTAGAGAAAAAAGGATAAAAAGGAATGAGCAAAGTCTCTAAGAAATGTGGGACTATGTGAAAAGACCAAATTTACGTTTGATAGGTGTACCTGAATGCGAAGGAGAGAATGAATCCAAGCTGGAAAATACCCTTCAGGATATTATTCAGGAAAATTTTCCTAAACTAGCAAAGCAGGTCAATATTCAACCCCATGTAATACAGAGAACACCACAAAGATATTCCTCAAGAAGAGCAACCCCAAGGCACATAATCCTTAGATTCACTAGGGCTGAAACGGAGGAGAAAATACTAAGGGCAGCCAGAGAGAAAGGTCAGGTTACCCATAAAGGCAGGCCAATCAGACTTACAGCAGATCTCTCAGCAGAAACTCTACAAGCCAGAAGAGAGTGGGGGCCAATATTCGACATCCTCAAAGAACAGAACCTTCAGCCCAGAATTTCATATCCAGCCAAACTAAGCTTCACAACTGAAGGAAAAATAAAATCTTTTATGAACAAGCAAGTACTCAGAGATTTTATTACCACCAGGCCTGCTTTACAAGAGCTTCTGAAAGAGGCATTACACACAGAAAGAAACAACCAGTATTAGCCTTTCTAAAAGTATACCAAAAGGTAAAGAGCACCAACATAAAGAAGAATTTACATCAACGAATGGATAAAACAGCCAGTTAACATCAAATGGCAGTAACCCTAAACTTAAATCGACTAAATCCCCCAATCAAAAGACACAGCCAAAACCCAATGGCATGTTACATCCAGACCTGTTTCACATGCAAGGATACACAAAGACTCAAAACAAAGGGATGGAGAAAGATGTACCAACCAAATGGAGAGCAAAAATAAATAAATAAATAAATAAATAAATAAATAAATAAATAAATAAAAAGCAGGAGTTGCAATTCTCGTGTCAGATAAAATAGATTTTAAAGCAACAAAGATATAGTGGTAAAAGGATCAATGCAACAAGAGCTAACAATTCTAACACCCAGATACATAGAGACTTAGATTCAATGAGACAGAAAATTAATAAGGATATCAAGGACTCTAACTCAGATCCGGAACAAGTAAACAATAAATATTTATAGAGCTCTCCACTTCAAATACACAAAATATACATTCTTGTCAATACCACATCACACCTACTCATAGGTTTAAATAAAACATTGATTGGCCATTATTAATACCCATTTTTTTTTTGCAGAATAAAGCAATATTTCCGTTCACCCTCCCTCTTTCTCTTCCTCTTTCTTCTTCTCCTTTACTCATTTTTTTCTTTCCTTTTCTCAAAAAAAAAAAAAAAAAAAAAAAAAAAATACTTGTGATGTACCAAAAGGAACCATGAATGCTAAAGAACAAAGATGGACATACAAGGTGCATCTGGAGGTCAGTTAGGAAAAAAATAAATCAGCCTTGTTTGTTAGAGGCAGGGATTTATGGACAGAAGAAATGGGAAACATGTATGGGACAGAAGAATGTAATCAGATTGTGAATTTAAATTGATCCTTTAAATCAAGCCAAATTTGACTTCAGGGAAAGGGAATCTGGTTTTTGACAAAGTTACTGTATTTCTATATAGTTACTATATTACTTGACAAAGTTACTATATTCCCATTTTACATATTCAAAACTCAATGTTTTCTGCCAATCCATTTACTAACAGTAAGTTTTGTTATACTTTTTTTCGAATTTCAGTCTCAATCCCTCATCTATAGTATGTGGGCACTAAACTGGAGAGAATTAAGGTTCCTTCCTATCTACCATTCCAGAAGTCCTTGAATAATGATATCAACTCATTTTTTGTGAGAACTGTTAAATGAAGAAAAATCAATATTTATCCTGCCTTTCCTGTCTGAACCATGTGTCAAGGTTACCAAACAGAGGTGAGGGGGAGCTTGTTTTTATGAAAATATTTTAACTGAAGCATCAAGAAAGACTGACAGAATTGGAATATCACCATTTTGCAGTCCCTTAATGAATTGATGGATCTAGGCAATGGTTATCAATAGCTGTTACTATCACAAAAAGAAAAACAACAGATAATATGTTGCTCCTGATGGAAGTACACAGACCACCTATAAAATATGCTTGAAGAGGCCTCAAGATCTAACTACCAACTTACAGGAAATACCACTGAAAGGGGAGCATGTTAAATGAATTCTGGATCCTTTTATAGAATTAAAAGAACAAACCTTAGAGATATTTAGTTCAATCCTATCATTTCACTAGAAGGAAAGTTGAAGACCCAAGGGAATGTAAGTATGTATTAGCCCCTGTTCCAGTTACCTACTGCTGCAAAACAAGTCATCCACACAATTTTGTTTTTTGACAAAGTCTCACTATGTCCCCCAGGCTGGAGTGCAGTGGCAATCTTGGCTCATTGCAACCTCTGCCTCCCAGGTTCAAGTGATTCTTGTGTTTCAGCCTCCCAAGTAGCTGGGATGCACCACCAGGTACAGGAATTTTTGTATTTTTAGTAGACACCACGTCTCACCACGTTGGCCAGGCTGGTCTCAAACTCCTGGCCTCAAGTGCTCTGCCCACCTCGGCCTCCTAAAGTGCTAGGATTATAAGTGTACGTCGCTATGCTATGCCAGGCCTATCCAAACCATTTTGAGGCTTAAAAAAACAATCATTCATTATCTCTCCTGGTTCTGGGGTTAACTGGGGTCAGCTGTGGTTCTCACTTGAGGTTCCTCATGCAGTTACAGCCAGATGGTGGTTGGGGCTGGAGTCACCCTGAAGGCTTATCACTCACACCTGGTGGCAAGGGCTTCAGCTGGGGCTATCAATTGGATCACTGGTGTCCTGGCTTCTTCACACAATGATGACTAGGTTCCAAGAGCAAGCATCCCCAAAATAATGAGGCAGAAGCTACATCACCTTTTATGATCCAACCTCTTGAGTCACATGGCACCCATTAAGCCGTAGTAACTGGCCCACCCAGATTCAGTGACACAGAGTACAACTGTCCATGGGAGGAGTATCAACAGTACATTTTAAGAACATATGCAGATCCTGTTGAGACCATTCTGGAACACATACTTTGCCACAGATGTCCTTCCTAAAAGATTCAATATGATCCTCCTTGTAAACCCCTATGATGACACTTATCACACGGTGAAAAACTGCCTGCCTATTCGTGACCCATCTCTTCCACTAAAACATAGCTCCTTTCAAGAAATAATTGGATCAGTAAAGTAATCTTTGTGTTCCTGGCACTTAGCAGATGCTAAAAAAACAAACTGTCATATCAGTGAACAAACAAATGAAAGTCAGATTTAAAGCTGGGAATATCGGTAAATGTTCTTCATCTAAATCTCTTATGCTAAGTAAACTTAAAAGACTGTTAGCTTTTAGAACTGTTATTACTTTTAAATTTTAGTAATAATATATCCTCACATTTGACTCATTTATCTTTAAGTAATAAGACTGCTACTTAATCCTCATCTTAATATATATTCAGAATAACTTGTGGATTTTTTTTCTTGAAAATTGGAGGGATATTTTATGACACATGCCCTTAAAAGGAAATTTGTGTATAACACCACTGTGCTAAATATGCCAAATGAAACAGTTGAAAACCACTCCAAGAACTTAGTGTACCCAAGTGCAAACATACAATTTAAAAGTATTTTTATTCATAAATTATATATTTTTGTATCCTGTTACTGGATATAGCCATTCAAACCTAAATTATCACTCTATAATCTACTGTTTTTTTTCTTGTCAGAAAATATAACCAAGATGAAATAAAATTACATAATTCAAAACTTGAAAATTAGGTAAGCGATTTCTTGGCCTGAAGAAGGCACACATGTATTCAACACACTGAACTGGCTATTTTAAGAATACTGTGCCTTCTGGTGCACCATTCATAACCATTTCACGACTGAACCAAACATCGTTAATCAGCTCTTAATCTGTGGAGACTGTATATAATAGCTTTTGTCACATTTCCTGCAAGGTGTCATCATTAGTCATGTATCTCTGTAAACAACTATGAACATGTACCAGCAACACTTACCAATGAGTACCTGACCACTCTTCATAGCAGATCCCCCTGGTAGCAGGCCATGGACTACAAGCCTCTCTCCATCACCCTGCTTTCCAGTTCTTCTCCAGCTCCACTTGGTCTGATGAATAATTCCAACCAGCACTTCTAGAAGCTTGAGCTGTTCTTTGGCTTTGAAGACAGTTAGCTTTTTGGGGTTTACATAAACATTCACATCTTTGTACCGCTGTTGGACAATGACTCCTGTCTTCTGATTGGACTGATGCTTTAGAATGGATACAGGCCCATTATTGTTGCTATTTTTTTTCTTACAGCGCTTGGGTAAAAGCTTTTTTCTTCTTAAAATTTTGGTAAATCGCTTGAGTTTGGGTTCATACTTTTTTCTTTCCTTGTAATCATCTTCAATGACAATCTCATTTTCACTGAACCTCACATGGTTCACAGTTGGTGTCTCAGGAAGGAGACTTTCTTCTTCATCCTCACTCAGTTCCAAATAAAACAGCTCTCCATTTTTCTGCACACTGTCCAGCCATTCAGGCTCAAGATCACTACAAAAGAGAGAAAAGATAATGGCAGCCCAATATAAAAAAAATAGGTATGTTATCCTGGCATGGGGGTGAGGGTAGGGGCTGGGGAGCAGGGATAGGAAAGGGTGAAACTTCTTTATTGTTTCAAATTATCCTTACTATTTCTAATTTATTGTGAGCCTCAACATTATTTCCTGTAGGATGCTTTTTCTGTAGAGCTTTGAAGAATGAGAGTTGGGGGAGAAGGAATAAAAAAGGCATAGCAATAGAAAGGAAAACCAATGAAAAAAGAGGTGGTTCCCTTATAGAATCTGTGAGTTGAAAAAAATTAATTCAATCACTGTATGGTTATTGCTTACTTTAAACAATTTCACTGAGTGATAATTTGCATTAGCAGTTGATTATGCAATTATACCCACAGAAGCATGTCAATTGGAAACTGTACATGAAAATACATTATTTGCATATAAATGATTGAGGATGGCTGTCAGGTTAAAATGAAAGCTAAAGCCTACCAGCTTTAACAGACTTTTAAATAAGTTTTCAAAAAGAAACATTTACTTCACCAGGAACTAAAATCTGTCCTGAAAACAAACAGTTTATAATCACAGCTAATATAGTAATGATCACTTTACAGTCTATAATTTCCATAAAACTCCTTTTTATGAAAAATTATAGTAGGAAAACCAAAGCATATATTATATGATTAAAAAAATATTTTTGACTGAGAAGTATGCTGCTGGAAAAAAATCAAAATTACTGCTATTAAAATGGTTAAAATAGCATAAGAGGCAAAAATACTCATGGTAACAAATCTAAACTCTACCCTGTTCAATGTTATGAACTGTTTACCTTTTCAACTGTTATTCTTTAAAGTGAAACTACTCATAGTAGAAAAATGAATGTGTACAGAGTCTTTCCAGAAACATGAGCTGTAATATCCTGGCCTGAAAGGGTCTAATTTGTGTTGTAATCATTAAATCAGAAGACATTTCTGTTTTCTGCACTGTTTATTAACAACTCCAGTTCTTTTAACTAAATGTCAAATGTCTCTTTCAAAATACTTTGAAAATTAGCCCCCAGAATATACTATTCTATTACTCAACTCAAACTAACTACTGCCATGGTCTGTGGCTGGTCATTAGTACAGAATTTTTAACTATATATGAATCATTTTTTAAAAGGCCTAACAAGCTCAAAATATCAAAACTAATATTTCTTTGGGACTTGTTGGCTCCCAGTATATGGTATCATCATAGGCACTAAGCATCACTTATTATACAGATTATGAACCAAGTATTGCTTATTTCAACCATACCTATCTGTACCCACAGAATCAATATTTAAACAAGTCTGCAGTTCTACTCTTGAGAATGTAAATAACTATATCCCCACCATAATCATTTAGATTACAAAGCTACTTTAGTTTTAATTGCTAGAGTGTAAATACCATGATTGCACATTAATTTCTTACCAAAATATATATCAATTTAAACAATGAATAAAGTGTATCAGCCTTATTATCTCACCCTTTTAATCTGGTAAGTTATTTGTATTAGAGACATGTAAAAAGAATATTTTTTTCCATTTGCTAAATATGAAGATGATTCATTTCAATCCCTAAAATTTGAATGTGAAACCACTCTTGGTTATGATTCAAAGATCCATGCAGGTGGGGGCTAAGGGGGATAGCATCTTGGCATTCAATTGTGGAGTGATTGAACAGCACCAGGGACTGTAGTAAGTAGCAGAATTATAATGATGAGAACGTCAGTTCCTGCCCTTGCTTAGTAAAGAGAAAGTGAGAAATAATTTGTGACCATACATAGGGTAAGTATAAGACAGAGGCATACAAGAGAGTCACCTAGCGTAGCCTAGCTGGAGGTTGAGGGGAGATCAGGGAGACCCCAGAAATCAGTTTTAAAGGATAAATTGGGGAGGAAAAGAGACGGGGAGCTGAAAGGAAAGCCATGAAGAGGATTTCAAACAGGAGTAACAGCATAAGCAGAGACCTGAGGATGGTCCCTACTGCCTACATGGAGAACTACTGGCCGTCGTCCGCAGTTGCCAGAGCAAATGTGAAAGATGGGGAATGACAGAAGTGGTGAAGTCTAGTTTTGCCAGGCTTTTTAGATCACCCTAACAGGTTTGGCTTTCGTAGTTCAGGTAGGAAGGCATCAACAAAGAGTTTTAAGCAGAGAGTTTACATGTTAAATATCCCTGGATAGGCCTACTTTGGCAAGCAAATGGTTGGTGGATTTGAGATGGACCAGACTCAAGGCAGGATGACTAGTCGGGGGGCTGTTTCAGTAGTTGAGGCAAAAATGACAAAGCAATAGTAGAAGAGATGGGAAGTAGAAAAAACATTTGAGAGACTCTTGAAAATCACCAGAACTTTGAGACTGATTAGGTTAGGAGATGAGAGGGAGGGATTAATGTTGCAGATTTCTAGCTGGGGACTGTACTTTCATGCGTCCTTTTGTGCATGTGCAGACTACTGTCATAAATGGGAACACAATCTTAATACAAGTCACTTTCTCTTACTATCTCCCTCTCACATAAACACTGTAAAAATCCATGCTTTTATAAGCATATAAAAACATATATAGGGTTATTCTGTCACTGTTTTGAAAAAGTGGAATTATACCTACATAAAGGTATATACTTAACTTTATAATTTCTCCCTTAACAATACAGCTTAGAAATCACCAGTGGCTGCGTGATTTCCAAATCAAGGATGTAGGACATTTGGTCATTCACCTACTGATAAGCTTTGTGTTCAGTTCTTGTTTTTCCACCACAAAGTTATAGGAACCATCCATATACACATGTGTGTATATATAGGTCTTTACCCAAAAAAGTATACTAATTCATATTATCACTAGCAATATGTGGGATCTATTCTCTTAATGTCTAGATTTTTAAAAAATACATCATTTAAAAGATATCATTTTAATGTATTTTAAATGTAAAAATGTAATATAATTTTAATGTAAAAATACATCATTTTAAGAAAGACAGTTTTAAAAAAGAGGAAGAAACTAAAAGGAAAATAAAGAGGCAGAGACAGGGAAATGTACATTAAGAGACTCCACACAGAAGGGCAACTTATACTGAAAAGCAAACAAACTGAAAAATTATGAAGAGCTGAGTTCAAATTTTGTTCTATTATGATTTTAACTTTCCTAAGAATGATCAATTGCTTTAGTTTTCCTCTTTTTGAAAACAGATTACAGCTACCTCATAGGACTGTTGTCAATAGAAAATATAATAATGTTCCTGACAACATAGTTACGTTCCAAATAAATGTCACTTCCCTTCCTCTTGCCTTTACTAGATATAACTCTCGTGTTTCTGCATTAAATGAATGTGTTTCTGGCATTAAATGAAGATGTCTCTAATGATCTCAGTTTGCCAGGTTTTAGGTTAGGTGCTAGTGACACGAGAATCAAAGCTAGGCACTGCTTTTAAGGACCCTACAGTTCAATATTCCTGGAAGTTTCCTTATTCCTACTCCAGAGGATAAGTTCCTAGGTAGATAAGCATCAAGAGATTGGTTAACGAGTACAAAATTATAGTTAGATAGGAGAAATAAGCTCTGGTGTTCTACTGCACAGTAGGGAGACTATAGTTAACAATATTACAGTGTATATTTCAAAATTACTAGAACAGAGGATGTTTGAATGTTCTCATCACAAAGAAATGGTAAACGTATGAAATGATAAATATGTCAAATGCCCTGATTTAATCACTACGCAATGTATATATACATGTATGGAAACATCACATTGTACCCCATAAATATGTACAATTATTGTGTCAGTTTCTTAAAAAGAGGATAAATGATTAGTATATTAAGAAATAGAATTCTAACAATTGTTGTACCAAACTAGTTCTTCTAGTACTACTAGAAGGGGATGTATTAACCACAATAACAACAGCAAAAATAACACAAAAACCTAACCTTTCATTACAACTTCCCCAAATTAAAGAAATTAATACGTATAGATAATTCCCACTCCAGGAGATAAAATTTAATCCCTCCTCCCCTTGAGTATAGACTTGGTGACTATATTATTCCAGAGAACAAAGTATGGAAAGGGAAAGACAGTAACTTTCCGGGGAAGAGACCTAGAAGACACCACCTCACATAACCAAGTGATCAAGGTTATGAAGTACAGGAAAGGACTAAGAAATTGTTACAGACCAGAGAAGACTAAGCACACAATACAATATTCTGAATTGAAAGCTGGAATATAAAAAGAACATTAACGGAAGAGTGGTGAAAGCCAAATGAAGTTTGGAGTTAATAGAATTGACCAATGTACATGTCTTAGTTTCAACAAATGTGTAATAGTTGTGTAAGATGTTAACATCAGGGGAAACTGGGTGAAGGATTTATGGAAAGCTTGGAACTCTTGTGTAAATCTAAACTTAACCAAAAATAAAAAATAATGAAAGGAATTAAATCTAACAGTTTTAATTCAGATCTTTGTGACACATGGGTCATATTTCAGCACAAATATAAATACTCCTTCCACATTTCCTAAGACCCTATGGTAAAAGCTGCAGAATTCTCATTGGGTAAATGTTTTTAAATTTTCTTTCAATAAGTCTTGCTTTGTTTATTCTGCTTTGATTTAAGCAGAATAACTGTATGTTTATGGCCTGCCTGCAATGTTCTAGGGCACTTTCATTGGTGTTCAAGGGCCTAAATGATGTGCTAAACATAAGTAGAGTCCTTCCCAAAGAAAGACTTGTTAATTTGCAAATAAGCAAGTTCACTTACATAAGCCGTAACATAAATATATTAAAGAAAATGAACTTCAGATAATGCTAATAATTTTCTCATTCCTGATGTATTCAAGAATATCTAGGTCACCACTAAATCTTTTAATACCCTCTAACAGTTATTTGAAGCTCTCAGGTCTTTATTGCATTAATGCCAGCATTTTTCATCATTTGCAATAGTACAGCAATTTCCTTAACTACCACAAGAAAAGAGTTATAGAACAGCCAGT